CCAAAGTCTGTCCTGAGGGAAACTGTTAAATGCTGATTACAATCCAGTGTAATTAACTATCAGGGATTTTATATATGTGTATGCATGCTGCTTTGAGAAGCAAAACAGGGAGAACAAGCAAAGAACAGGCTGATTATTGAAAGAAATGCAAGCATTCTCTCCAATGCTTCTAATCTTGAAATAATTCATGCCATGAAGTAGCTGCCTCAATCAATTGCCACAATTTGCACTTAAGTGTTGTTTTCATTAAAGCACTATTTGCCCATTTTGGCTTAATTTGTCCCAAAACAGCTCCTTTTCTCATTTCCTTTCCATTCAAAGAAGTCTACAAAATACCTAACTGTATTACAAGGAATAAGAAATAATGTTGTGCTTTCTTATTTTTGTCTTTGGAGATGAGACAGCAAGGATTTGCATCCTTAGTCAAAATTTGTGATGGAACAATGAACTCATCTGAATTTGTCATGGAAATTACAGCACATGTTATTTGGGGATGCATATTATACTGAAATGTCACATACAGGAAGGACGTTACATTCAAACAGTTAACTTAATTCCCTTTTGTACATTAACAAGTGAATGTATCCGTCTGCTGACAGAGACAAAGAACGCACACAGAAGGAGCTTTGGGATGAGGGAAAGACTTCAATCTGGCCACGAACTGTGGCCAGATTACTGCTAGCAGTCGTGATTCCAGCAGCAGTGATCTGGCAGCAATGTTTAGCTATTAAACATAAAAGGGAGGCTTAGGAGCTGGATAGGTTTAGGTATCTAGCTGTGGAGCCAGAGGCTGGGAGTTCAATTCCCCACTGTGCCTCCTTGACAGGGGTTGGACTTGATGATCCAGAGGGTCCCTTCCAGCTCTGCAATTCTAACGTTGTTGTTGTCGCTGCTGTTACTACTTCAGTGTAAGTAGCATAACAAGATTTCAGCCAGTGTTACAGTTTATTTGACAGATCAGTAATAGGAAGAAGAAACTACTACTATGACAATGATCATGGCTCATTAAAAAAAAACAAGCCAAATAACTAAAATTACACACGTACACATGAAATGTTTAAATAGTTAAAACTGTACAGGTATCACTAGTGGAATATTCCACAGATTATGAACAGCTGATGTTTCGTCTGTTGCGTCTGCTTAGTTTCAGACTTGTCCATTACTATCAAACCAAATTATAATTCAAAGAACTATTAATCTGCAAATTTGTAGCAACCTTATGATCTGGGAAACAACTCTTGGAAAAGGGATAAGCTTTGCCTGGAGATTTGCTGACAGAGCTCATAAATCCCGAGTGGATTCTAAATCAAGCTAACAGAGCTCACCCATCAATATCCAACTGTGATAAAAATGTTATTATTGGTGCACAAAGGTGCAGCAATGACCTTGTGCTGGCAGAGCAAATCAACATTCAAGAAGACAATTCTAAAACTGGGGGCAGCCCAAACAAAAAACAATAGCTTTTAAACTGGGCTTCAGATCAACACCAAAATTGGCATCACAGTAGCAGCCAGCCTGTTCTTGCTCTGTGCCAAGCTTGGGAAAGTGTGGGCAAAGGATTTTTGAGTTACAGTGTTTAAAATGTTCCCCTCATTCAGAAATAGGCAAACAGATCACATAAATTGAAAAAACACCATAATCTTGCTTATTTTTAAATAGAATGGTTTGCAGTACCTGTTTTTTTATTTCAAAAGAAACTGGACTTCAGGGACCGGGGGAAAAAGGTCTTTAAAGATGGAAAACAACTACTTCGTTATAAGAACGCATGGTGCAAGAAAGCCAGCAGGAGCTTCATGAAATGAAACACTGTATACATCCCTGGAAAAGGCCCTGATGTTGGGAAAGTGTGAAGGGGCGAAAGAGGATGAGATGGTTGGACAGTGTCATTGAAGCTACCAATATGAATTTGACACAACTCCGGGAGGCAGTGGAAGACAGGAGGGCCTGGCATGCTCTGGTCCATGGGGTCACAAAGAGTCAGACATGACTTAATGACTAAACAACAACAACATGCATGTCCCATGACTTAATGACCAAACAACAACAACATACATGTCTAGGCAAGGGAGGGAAGAGAGGGAAATATTTAGAGAGAAAGGTCACAAAAACAGACTGATTGGATAGATTTTCTTTAAAGAGGAAGAAACAGAGGTTTGCTTTAAAGAAAGTAATGGAGTGACAGTCTTACAGAAAGAGGGATAAACATTCTCTCAGGATTTCTGAGACCAAACAGTCTCCTCCCCTTTTTTAAAATGGGAAATAAGATCCACCACTGGGGCAATCTAAACTTTTTTAGACCCTGCCAATCAGGATGCAACTGGCTGACACTTAGCTTTTAAAGTCCTTCCTGGCCAAACAGACTTATCAGAATCATGCTCACAAGGGGATTCTGTGTCTGCTTCTGTATCTGACACAAAGAGAATATTAAAAATGTGTTAAAATACAGATACTGAAAATATTTTAATATATATTTAAACAAAGAACAAATATTCAGAAGCTCGCTCATTGAAGCCGTGAAATTGTTTGCTTTGTGGCTCGCGATGGTCTTATTTGCTGTTAGCAGAGCTTTGGTGCCTATATGTTGTCATGGCCTTCCATAGACTATCTTGACTGCTGACATAAGTGTCAGGAACATTCAGGCTGCCCTTTGCGATGTAAAGTCTGGAACCTTTGCTATGTAAAGTTTGAAATATTTTGTCCTGCTGGCAAGCAAGATATTGTGCAGTAATATTGGGGCATTTCCTGGCATTTTGAACCATGGGTAGAGAAACACAATATCTCACATGCATAAAATGAGTTACACTATTGTTCACTTAATTGAAATGGCAGTTTTTGCATTACTTATATCTTTCCCTTAAACATCAGTAGGATTTAAAAGGCTGAGGTCTGATGTTAGTTTTTTACTCTGTGTGTAAATCTGAAATAACAAATGTTCGAATGATACATATTTTGCTTATTACTTTCAGTGCCCAGGAATATACAATAAACACAACAATTTTCCTTTTATAAAAGTATCAGTCCATGCTTTCTTTGTGAAGCCTGTGAAGGGATAGCCACATTTGTACGAACACCTCATTATTTCAAAAACATCAGTTCCTTTTGATAGGGGATCTGTTCCATCAGGCAGCAGAGGGGGTCTTTGATATATCAGAGAAACAGAGACAAGGAAACATAAATGGGGAGTCTAGATCACATCATAAGGTATGAATACATTCCCTGACATCATGAAATCTGTGGCTCTGCTACACATGTGTTTTTTTCCAGTTTAGAGGCAATAAAGCTATTTTTGAGAGGCAGGTGATGCAGGACTGTTTCCAGAGTTGTCACGTGGGACTGTGAGGCCTTTGGTGACTCCACACCCTTCACCTCTAATCCATTTGGAAACAATGGGAGGGACGCCCTCTGATTTGCCACTGTATTTTCACTGCAAGTAACATTGAAGAATCATCGCTATTAACTGATCATTGGCAATAACAAAGATCCCTGTCTGATTTGCATTCAATATTGTAAGGAAAAAATGAGGGGATGATAGACATGTAATTTGTTCATCCTCCTGAAAGCTTCTTAGCCCTGCTGGCAGGAAGTTGTAATCCAAAAACGTAGACAAGTACAACATTGTCTACTATTGATAAAAGGTCCTAAATTTTAATATTAATTTGTACAATCTCATACAATCCCCATACACAGAATATACTCACCATCATTAAGGGTATTTCAGGATCCTTAGTAAACAACAAAGGAGACTAACTTCATATGCTCCAACTGTAGATGAGCAAGCCTTTCTCATTAATAATTGTTTAAAAAAGGGAACAAATCAAAGACAATTTGAGTTACTGTCTGAGCCAACTGGAATGTAAGAATTTCGAACCTTTAGATCTTTTTAAAAAACTCCTGAAGATTGTTATCAGACATATATTGGGAGAACTCTGCTAACTCCACTAACATCTCATACTTGCTGGGACAGATAACTGCTTATTATGTGGTCTCCTAGCACTCATTTTTAAAGCCAGTAAGACATTGCGCTGGCACAAACTTCTCATACAATTATGATTAGAGCCTGTCCTTCTAGTGGGAACACTCTCGTGTGTTCAACCATGTTTGGCTACACATAAGCACCAACAGAAGAAAAACACTCTCGTGTGTTCAACCATGTTTGGCACACTTAGTCTTTCTGCCATCACAGTAGTGAGTTAACAGTGCTTACGCACTGAGATTCATCCTGTAATATGTAAAATGCCATAAAAGGCTACACATAAGCACCAACAGAAGAAGGTAGATAACTGAACTAATGACCAAGCAATAGGTTGAGATGAGGACACCCAAGGTCAGAGGGGGTACATTGCTTGGGGTGAATATTAAATTGAGAAAGGGACCCTATGTATTTCTACTCCCACTGAATTCAATTGTACTGATTCCCAGTATGTTACACAATTGTGTCCTAACAGTCGTTTTAGTTGGCAACCTTTGCAGAACTGAACAATTTGGCTTTCTTATGAAGCATGTATGACTTGTTTTAGTTATGAAGGCTCAAAATGGAAGTTGGTTTAAACTAATAAATCTAGAGTTGGTGTAAAACATTGCATCACAAACACTATCATAGTAAACTACAATGTTTTCTTTCACTAAAGACACTGAACGTAAATAGTCTGAGCAGTAAAATTGCAGTTCATGTGTTCCTGAAGAAAACGTTGTAATGAAATAGTCTATAACATTTTTTTAAAAAATTCCTACAGTGTTGAGGGGAGCAAAGTTCTTTGCTGTTTAGATCATTTTCTGTCATTGTACATTATTTTTCTATTAAAAAGTGTTTACTTTCCTATCTGTTGCTGCCCATGTCAGGTTCCCACATGAATTTTTCAACACATAGGCTATGGCTAATAATATCTTGCTTTAGCCCATATACCAGTGATGACCTATGCCACAATCATTATATCAATTTCAAGAATGAAGTTTTTGCATGTTTACAACAAACAGCATTAAATAATTTCCTTTGTACTTACCATATAATTTTTATGCCACTTCACAGAAGAAGGGGTGTAATATATTTGGGCTTTTTATTGCTTGAGTAGAAAGTGCTCATTACCTCTTTTTTATGTTCATACATAAGAAAAAAAAAACCACAAAGTTTTCCAAGTGGGACATCACACTGTTGTAGTGGTCGATTTCCTCAAGATGGTCTTCTGGGGTTTTGGTGCAGTTTGTGGAGGCACAGTTGCAGGTCTGAGTGGGGGAAAACTACTACTAGGGCTTATTCCCACCCCTCCATTTTCTAACGGAAAAGGAGGAAGTGGAGGAGGTGGAGGTGGTAAGGGAGGACATTGGGGAGGAAGCTTTCCCGGCATATGAGTAGGTTCACTGTGCAAATGGACCTCCCTGTTCTTAATATTATATCGGACATCACAATCTGCACAATAGCCATGGTACTGCACATTTTCGTTAAATCGTACCCGTTCTCGTGTTCCAGGCTGAGGACACCTGTCCTTTTCAGATCTGTGCATCAGAGGTTGCATTGGAACTTTGTCCACGTTACTATTAGACATACAACATATATCTCCATTTGGAATTTTATTTGGTCCCCCTGGTAAACCTCCATTTCGTAACAGAGTCCCATTAGTCTTTACAGGGTTGGCAGGAGTAAATGACCGGTGAGAATCTTCACACTTCACAGGAGTCAACCGTGGAGGAGGTGGAGGTGGATTGGGCTTCCTTAGTACAGTGAGAATGGCAGATGGATGGGCTGGAGGCCTGATGAGTGGTGCATTGGTTCGCACCTTGATTTTTTCCAGACTTGATGCCGTTGTGCTACTTGAGCTGCTGTTCAATGTGTCTGTTTTTGAACTGTCAGTCATCTCATCTTCCAGCTGCAGGTCAGAAGTCAATGTGTCAATCTGGTCAACTACCTGCATGAAAACCAAAGGCAGTTTATAATCAAAATTCATGAGAATGAAAGGGAGAGCAGGAGTCTGCATACACAAATTTTGCCTTTTGTAAAAGTATAATATTTTTTTATATTTAACACATAGTTTTCTCAAACATATTTAACAGAACAGTAGCATATACATTTTATATTTTAAAAATTCCAATGAAACTATCTCAAGATTTTGTCAAAAATAAAGGTGAGGGAGAGAGATAAAAAGGTAAAAATACCATAGCACCTTAAAGTATTTTTTAAAAGAGTCTTTAAATTGCTACAATATTTTCCCCCTTTCTTTCATCTTCTACCTTTACTTCTGCCAACATTTTGGATGTTCATACATGTTAAAATATCAATTCATTTTCCTTGATATATCCACTAATGATTCACTATATGATCACTGCAAAAGAAACAGTTCAACTATGTTTATTTGCGTAAAATTATTTCTAAATACGTCTAGTGCAACAGATAATTCAAGACATAGCACTAGAAATCAAGGCCTTTCTTGAAAATATAAGTGTGTTCTGAGTTGGAGGATGAGGGAGAAGATTATCCAGAACAAATTAATTCAAGTTTACATATAAGTAAAAAGAAGGGGTGTCCATTTTTAGAAGCTGACAGAAAATATCTACATTTCCCCCTCTCAGACATGATAATAAATCCATGAAAGAAGTGTCCCTGATGATGTTTGGAGATATTCCATTATGTTAATTGTTTGTGTGTTCAAATCTCAATGAATTTTAGGGTATAAAAAGGCCTGAAATATCTATGATGGGATTGCATCCATGAAATCTCACACTGAAATAAATGTATTAGTCTTAAAGGTGCCAGAATGCTTTTATTTCCACTGTTGCTAAAATAGTCTAACACAGCTACCTGACTATTATTATACTGTATGTTAAGTATATCTGAGCAGATTAAAATATCTGAAGCGTCTCCATGAAGACACTCATCAAGCCAATGTTAATGCCACAAAAATCTTGTTTACTTTGCACATTTCTTTCTGCTAAACGCCTTTATATGTGGGCTTGGAGGTTCACACTGTAACCCAACTCTCAAAAGCCATCTTTAATGGATACTCACACTGTAATTTGACCACCATAATGTCAAGCAGAGCAGAACACCATACTTTTACTACTGTGGCTTTCCAGGTATTGATAAACCCCATTTTTGCGATTTTGCAGCAGTGCTAGTACTCAGTTCATACATGATCATAAAACATCGACTTTAAAATGGAATCTTGCTATGTGGGATTTTTGAATTTGATTCAAAGCAGTTTATGCCATTCCCAAAAATGCCATCTCAGTTGCCACAAAAGCAAGAACAACAGAACGTTGTCAGCCACTCGTATAGAACTGGCTTGTACTAAGTTGAGTCAGTGGCAAATCTAGGTCAACATTCCTTACTCAGGTATCAGCAGCTGTCTTAGATTTCTTGTGGGTTCACTATTCAGAGATTAAAGAAATGCATAGTGGTTTATGGAATTAGCAGGTATGGTGACCTCATCACAATATAATGTAGGAACACTCCTCTTCCTCACTCCATGAGGTACAACAATGGACAAAGTCAAATGATGATCTGATAAGGCAGATTCCTACATTCCTAAAAATAAAAAGTCAATCTTTTTGCTTTTAACAATTCTTTTTCTTTGCTTTAGGTCCAACTGCTTTCCAGTTCTAATTTCTCTCACACTAAGTCTGACATCACTTACTCCAGATGTTCTGGACCACAGTAGCCACCAGCCTCAGCCAGCATGGGGTGACTGAAGTTATAGACTATGTGGAAGGCTGCAAGCTGCCCACTCCAGAGATTCAAAAATAATTTCAGGTTTGAATAAACTGTGAAATTCACAACAAAAATTCCACAACACAAGTTTCTTCAAGCTCCATCTTAAAAAATAAAAAGTCATAAATAATGCATGTTTCTCATGTAAAACAACCTGAACATAAAACTACAGTAAAAACAATGTGGGATAATTATACCTTAGGGTAGAAATCATACATCAGTCATAATCAAAGAATGCCATGTTGACTTATTCATTCTATCCTGAGGTACAATTTCACTGTAATCTTCTTATAAGTAACAAGGAAACAAATGCACCCCTAAACATAAATCCTCACACACCCCTCTATCTACTCTAGCAAAATCCAGCAATTCTAAGACCATATTTTCCAGATTTTATTTACTCTCGTGTGGATATTCAAGCACATTTTGGCCATATCTTCCTTCCATGTCCTCAAACATCATAATCATACCATGATGTATTCTAGCTGGCTCACATGCTAGCAAGTAGTCCAATGGATAGTCCACATTGGAAAAGATGTATTTTCATCTGCAAAGAGGAAGAATGCGTAATCCTCAAGATGATGCTGGACTGCAGCTCCCATTATCTCTCACTGTTGGCTATGCTCACTATTTATTTGTTTGTTTGTTTGTTTGTTTGTTGATTGATTGATTGACTGATTGACTGATTGATTGATTGATTGATTGGATTTCTATCCCACCCATCTAGACCAAAGGACTATTCTATGGCTAATATGAGTATCAGACCAAGGACATATAGAGGCCAAGAATATATGGAGGCCAACATGTTCACTGCAACGTTCCACTAATTGCATGTTCTTGCATAACTGTACAGCTGAGTTTGTAGAAAATGTTATATAACATTGTGGTTGTAACAAAGAATTCACAGAAAACAGAGCTCTATGTAGAATGTAGAACAGATTATGTGACTGTAGGCAGGTACTCTTCTGGTATAACATTTATCAACATAGTTTAATTTGTGTTTAATGATGTAAGTGCTGTCCTGTATTACAATATGGGATGTGTACTATCTCCAAAATTTGAATTAGGATTTGGAATTCAGAAGTGCAGTTCTTCGGAATCAGAATTTAGAACTGTAAAAATTTAGAATACCAGGATACCCAGAACTCTTGTTACAGGCAATATGAATACTATATAGTCAATATTTTTTCCCTTTAAACAAACACAAACAGGCAAACATTTTTCAAGGATTTCTCTGTGGTCTCCGATGCCTTCCCAGGGATTGTAGCAAACAAAAAAGAATGCAAACTATACAGCATGTTAGTCAACAAGCACTTCCTTCCTCTCAGGTGATCATACATTAATTTGTATGTTGTATTCCTAACAACTCCAGCACTTCTTGTAGTGCATGCACACGCAGCCATGTGAGCATCTGTTGCACACTGTTGAAAACATTTGTGGTCTCCGATGCCTTCCCAGGGATTGTAGCAAACAAAAAAGAATGCAAACTATACAGCATGTTAGTCAACAAGCACTTCCTTCCTCTCAGGTGATCATACATTAATTTGTATGTTGTATTCCTAACAACTCCAGCACTTCTTGTAGTGCATGCACACGCAGCCATGTGAGCATCTGTTGCACACTGTTGAAAACACTTCCAGATTACAGTGGTGCCTTGACTTATGAACGTCCCTAGTTGCGAAATGGCAGTACTGCTGCTGCTGCCAACACTAAGTGTCAATCTGAGGGCTGGTGCCATCCCTGTCCTTCTCTGGTATATCAGCTCTTTAGCAGAAAATTGCCTTTTTCACCATCTTTTTTGGCCCCTTGCTATGGCTGCCTTGACTGGACTGCACAAAGACATATCTGGAATATGTCTGAAATTCACTCATATCTGTCCCATCTTGAGTTAGAAACTTGTCTGCCACCTCTCTGGCACACATGCATACACATGCATGCGTGTACACTGTACTGCTACCTGCTATTCTATCATAGTGTCAGATTTTGTTTTGGGTCTGTGGTAGGCAGTCTTCTTCCTCTTTCCTCTCCCATTCCCCTCAGTAGAAGCTGTTGCAGTGAGGGCAGACAGCATTCCTGCAATCTTCCCCAAGTGCCTACTTCTGCTACCAAACCCATGTGTTATTCGGCCTGAAAACTCTACCTAAAGAACAGTATTTGATTCTGCTACAGCAGAACACAAATTCTTCCAGTGAAAAATCACGCAGACACACAGAATATATCAACTTAATATATTTGTATTTATATAACAAAATACTATTCCCCCGCCTGATCTACTCCAAAGAGGCCTAAAACTAATATATCCCTGTTGATTTATAAAGTAAGAATCTATGAATCTGCTAATTCTAAATCTTATTCCTAAATGTATTAAGTAAGCAATAGATCATGAAATGTAGAGAATGTAAATGGCAGTTGAGGGTTCAGAAAAGGGAAAACTGTAACAGAGTGGGCTTGCACCAGAGTATGTCCTAAAAGCAAAAGCTCAGGGGATTGATAAGCAGATATGTCTATCTTTCAGTGTGAAAAAAATGCTTTATGTTGTCTGTGCCTGCTTCTAGATTTCATGGGTGCAGACAGACATCATTTGCTGTCATCCTAGCCCCCCTCCCTTGGGAAATCCATGGCAACCCTAATCAGAAAACACTGAGTTTTCTACTAGCAGTAACCTTGATACCAGAGTGTCTTTAAGTTTTATTTCTCATGAAATCACTCCAGGACGTCTGAGAAACAGGATTCACTTTCACTTCTTCCTCTAGCAAGCAGAAGCCTAGCCTTTTACTTTCTAATCTATAGAAGTAAATGGGTCTCCAAATAAGAATTATTTTTACAAACTTTCAGATCTATTAAATTTGGATTCAGATATATTCAGAACTATCTAAATATGACATTGTTAAATTCCAAATATTTCCAAATCTACATGCACCTCCCTTATTACAAGATAAATATTGATGTGAACAACTTCTGCATTCCTGTGCAAATAATGAATAAAGATAAATATTGAAAAGAAGGATATACATTAGCCTGTCATTCTTAAAAAGTCTGAAATAATTGATATTTTATATCTTTTGAAATCTTGTTAAACTAGACTGACACTGTTCTCTAACCCCTTACAACTGAAATTACTTTATAGTCCCAACAGAAACCCAGTCACTGTACATATTAAATAAATTATTACAAGGAAGAATAATGCTGCTAAGACTTGAT